CACCATTACAACGCCTCCAACGACGACCTCAAATCTTGCTTATCAGACATGGTGTCGACAGGACCGCCTCATCTATAGTGTCTTTCTCACCACTCTCTCCAACGAGGTGGCCTCCTTGGTGTCTCAGACAAAGACCTCGCATGATCTTTGGACCCTCCTCAAGAGCACCTATGTCAAAGCATCCCGCAGTCATCTCAAGCAACTAAAGGAGCGTCTCCGTACGGCTTCCAAAGGTACCTAATCCATCACAACCTATATGCATTCTCTGAAGCAAACAACAGATCTCCTTGCATCATTTGGATCTTCTGTCTCTGTTGAAGACATGACTAATCATGTCTTGCGCGGCCTAGACGACGGCTACAAAGCAGTCATTGACGGCATGACTGCAAGGGACACCTTCATTTCCTTTGATGACCTTCTCGAGAAGCTTCTCATCCAGGAACTGTCCATTGTTGCTCCTCAAAGACAGACTTCTGCTCTTCTTACAACCTTGAATGCTTAGGCTTGGCCCAACTTAAACAACAAGTATCGATTTGGGCAATTCTCTGCACAGTCACATCAACGCATTGGCAATCACAAACCATTTCTAGGCTGATGTCAGTGGTGCAACGTCAAAGGAAATGTTCTATCTCAGTGCCACACCTTCAGGCAGCAACATCCCGGTGTCCCGCTGCCCCCTTGGGACTCTCCGCCTTACACTGGACAACCTCAGATCAATGCTGCAACTACTGGCTCATCTCAGACTGATTTTTTGGTTGACAGTGGAGTCACACATCACGTATCCAATGATCTTGAAACTCTGGCACTCCATCATCCTTACACTGGTCTTGACTCCCTATTTATGGGTAATGATTCAGGTTTAAACATCTCTCACTCTGGAACACTTTCACTTAATGATTTATCTCTGTCTAATGTTTTGTGTGTTCCTTCCATGAAACAAAAAATCATTTCTGTCTCTAAACTTGCCCAATAAACTAACTCTGCTATTGTTTTCCTGCCACACTCTTTCTATGTGAAGGATTTACAAATGGGCCAAACAACCCATAAAGGCTCATGTGCGGATGGACTTTATCTCTAGCCCGCCTCCTCACCTTCCGTCCACACAGTCCGCATGCATTCCTTTGCATCATGGCACCATAGACTTAGGCATCCTTCATCTTCTATCTTCAAATTTATTCAACAACATTTTTCTTTGGGCTCAAATAAATTCCAGCAATCAGATTGCAACTTATGCCAAATTAGCAAAAGTCACAAACTTCCTTTTCATGAATCCACTCTTAAATCTTCTTATCCATTGGAAATAACTTTTTCAGATGTATGGACTTCACCTATTTTATCAATTGATGGTTTTCGTTACTATTGCATGTTTGTTGATCATTTTACTCGCTATATCTGGCTCTATCCAATGAAACGCAAATCTGATGTGCAAACTATATTTCCCAAATTTAAATCGTTCATTGAAAATTTCTACCACGACACAATAAAAATCTTATACACAGATAATGGTGGCGAATATATTGGTCTTCGTCCCTTTTTAAGCAATCATGGTATAAGTCATCACACCACCCCACCTCATACACCTGAACACAATGGAATATCAGAACGCCGAAATCGTCACATCGTCGAAACCGGTCTCTCTTCTCCATTACTTAGGATTGCCCCTCACCTATTGGCCTCACGCCATGACCACCGCAGCCTACCTCATAAATTGCCTCCCCGACTCCAATTCTTAGGTACAAATCACCCTATTCCAAACTGTTCCACATTAGCCCAGATTATCATAAGTTAAAATATTTTGGATGTTTGTGTTTTCTCTGGATTAAACCATATGCTAACCATAAACTTGCGCCAAAGTCTGCTATGTGTGTTTTTATAGGTTACTCAGCTGATCAACATGCATACTTGTGTCTCGATCCCAAAACAAACAGGATTTACACCTCTCGCCATGTGAAGTTCGTCGAATCTGAGTTTCTGTTTAGCCCCCTCGTAGCTCAATCCAATCTAGGTGCAGAGCAACAAACAAGCCCACTTCAGATCTCCATTTTACAGCCTATAAACCAACCCGCGGAAATTCCAACTCTAAACCCATCAGAAGATTTCTCCGCTACCCCTTCCTCTCCATCCATCCCTCACTCACTGGATTCGCCCCAATCCTCACCCTCAAACGAACCCACCACCAACACCACTCAATCTTCCCCTCCAACCCCACAACCATCCCTACAACTTTCTGTCCCACCATCTCATCTTGTTCCCAACCCCAATGGCGGCGGGATCATCACCCGGTCTAAAAACAACATTGTCAAGCCCCTCAAAAAGCTTAACCTTCATGCCCGATTGTCCTTTTCCATCAAACCCAGCACCATCACCTAAGCTCTTCGTGACCCTGATTGGCGCTCTGCCATGCATACCGGATTTGATGCCTTACACCGCAACAACACTTAGGATCTTGTTAGTTGGTCCTCTGCTCAAAATTTGGTTAGCTATAAATGGGTATTTCAAATCAAACGGAATTCAGATGGATCGATTGATCGTTACAAGGCCCGGTTAGTCGCTAAAGGGGTTTTACCAATGCCCTGGTTGGGACTATACAGAAACATTCAGCCCAGTCGTTAAATCGGTGACCATTCATATTGTCCTAACACTTGCAATTCGCCAAGGCTGGTCCATACATCAACTTGATTTCAACAATGCGTTCCTTCAGGGGACGCTCAAGGAGGAGGTCTTCATGATACAGCCACCTGGTTTTGTCAACAAAAACTTTTCTGATCATGTCTGTCGCCTCAAAAAGGCACTTATGGGCTAAAACAGGCACCTCGCGCCTGGTACATGGAGCTTCGAGTATTCCTGCTCTCCCTTGGCTTCGTCAACTCAACTGCAGATGCATCTCTATTCATATAGCAAAAATCGGGCATTACATTGTACTTATTAGTATATGTTGATGATATCATCGTCATAGGGAGTTCTTCTGCAGAGTTGTCCAAACTCATTGCCACACTTGCTGCTCGTTTTTCGTTGAAAGATCTTGGCTGTCTCAGCTATTTCTTGGGTCCTTTCCTTGTTCACAGAACTTGGTCACACGCCAACAGCCAATCAGGTTATATATTGTGACAATCTCGGTGCCACAAATCTAAGTGCTAATCCTGTCTTCCACTCTCGAATGAAACATATTGCCTTAGCCTACCACTTTGTCTGAGAAAATGTTCAACATGGCAAATTTCGAGTGTCTTTTGTGTCTACATATGATCAACTTGCTGATATTCTCACAAAGTCCATGCTTTGCTCCTGGTTCGAGTCCTTACTGTCCAAGTTGCATCTCTCTTCTAGATTATACAACTTGCAGGAGGATATCAATAATAATAATTAGTTTTCAAATTATTTTTAATTATTCAGATTTGTAAATCTGTTGTTGACCCATTTTATAGGCAAAAGTCTAGCGCTTGATTAAAGGAGAATCAATAGGGATTTGTTAACTTGATTCACTCCTAAATTAAGTCTGTTAGCTTGCATATTTATACTAACAGAAACTAATAACATATTATCTTCAAATCTTCTATAAAAAATATGTACGAAAGGTACATTGTCAATGCATCAAATGAGGGTCTACAAAACTAAATTGAAAAACATTCACTATCAATCTTCAGAGATCATCCTTAACTACTTCCCAGTAAGATTTATTAATAAATTATTAGAATCCATTTGATTCAGGTCTTGTAAGTATCCATACCAAATATTGTACTTCGCATTTTTTCCTTCAAGATAAGATTTAAAAGAACTAACCTTCCTCTTAAATTTTAAAAGAGAAAGATAATGAAAGTCAAACATACTCACAATTAAGAGAAACACAAAATAAATTTTTGTATACCTTCAAAGCTTCCAACTTGAGGATGTCACTATTAGTGCACCAAACATCTCCTGAAATATGAAAACTTGTATATTATTACATTTTTGTTGAATTATTGTTTGTGTATGAATAAATGAGTGTTGCAATTTTCAAATTGGACTCACTTAGTTCTTTTTGTAATTTATTCTTCAAATAATCTAATTATGTTCTAAAATTATGAGATCATTTTATTTGAATATCATGTAGTCAAGAAAGAATGTAATTCTTGTAATAAAAAAATATTTTCAAAATTTTATCATTAAAATGAAGAGAATAATCATGTTTTAAGTGTGACAAACTATCTACTAAAAAATAATTAATATTTAAAATAAAAATTAAATTTTTTATGTTTTAATATTATAAATATTAATTTTTTTATCATATTTTTATGAATGCATAACAGACAATATCAATAATATTAATAAAGACAAAATAAAGAAACAATATTTTAAGTTTTGTTAACATTATTTTCTAATTGAAACTTTATTTTTAATAATTGAGTTTGCCTTTAATATCAGCTTATAATTACAAGTATAAACTTTAATTCAATAAAAAAAATAACAACAAAAATATCTAAACTGAAAAATTATTTTACTATATTTATTAAAATTCTTTTAAAACTTTATTTAAAGAAAATCAAACATGTACCATTTAAACTAACCATATTTAGTTTTTTAATGTATCTTTTGTTTTTAAATATATTTTTGTCTGTGATATTTGTGACACAAATAATTATTTGTTTTCGTTCTTTATTTTTTTAAATAAATTTTATTAACTTCATTATTTAAAATTGAGTTTAAAAATGTAAAATAATATATATATATATATATATATATTTAAAAAATGCATTAGTATAAAATTTTTAAAATGTCAATGCTGTTAATCTTAATAAATATTAAATAATATGACTAATTAAAATGTTGTAACATATTAATTTCTTATAAATCATTTTAGTAAAAAGGAATAAAACTACTAATTCATAAATAATAAAAAATTATAAGAAAAACTCAAACGTCTAAAACTAAAAACATATGTAAATCTACAGCTAATTAAAGTATTTCTATTACAGAGGAACAGTGGCCGTGGACGTGGATAAACAATTAGGGGAAGGTGGCCACGCAAAGCATCTTATTCCAATTCTCCGAATTCCATTCCATTTCAATTTTAATATTAGGATTAGGGATTTTATTTTTCTTCAGAAACAAGTTATCAGTCACACAGAAATGTTGGAGCAATCGGTGCTGACAATAGGAAATCAAGGGTCAAAATCAGTGTTATCAGGGGGATTCCAAGATTGGGTGTTTGAGTGCCATGGCTTTTTCCACAACGCGGTTTTGATCATCGCTTCCTTTCTCTTCGTCTTGTTCTTAGCACTCCAAGCCAAACAGAGCTTCCTCAAACTCTCTCATGGCCGCTCTCACATCATCATCTCCTATTACGCATGCCTCTGGCTTGTCAGCATCCTCAATCTTATTTGGTGCTTTTCCCAGGTACCACAATTTCTTTAATCAAGCTAAAAAAAAAAAAAAACCGTGAGATTGTATGTGTATGAGAGTTTAAAAATCTTTACTAGTCTCTAAGTTTATCGAAATCATTCACTTTAGTCTCTTTTATTGACGTTATTTTTACTGTCATCTTATGCTATAAGTAATCAAGTGAATGCTATTTTATAAAGTGAGGACTAACAATGGATTTTTAAATCCAAATAACTAAAATGCACGGTGCTTGCAATCTCAAGACTAATTTGAGGGTATACTCTCTCTTTAATCAAGCAAAAAAATGAATATTTGGGATCAAATTTAAGTCTACCATATTTTGTTGTATAATGCTATCATTTTTTGTGACTTTTTACTGGCATTGGTGAATGGTCAATTTTTGGGTTGATGCAGGCATGGGAGTGTTCTCCTGGGAAGGACTTTGCGTGGAACCTGTTGTCCCTTTTTACTACTTCTGGAATGTTGTTTCTAGAAGTGAGCTTGCTGGCCTTTTTGCTTCAAGGGAATAGTACTAGTGGCTTAGAAGCGTTGACTAGAACTTTTGGTATATCAGGGATCATTGTTGGTTTTGATATCTTGTTGAAGGTATTTCTTTGGTTTTCTTCTTCTACAAGCATTCTTCTTCTCCTTGTGGTTGTTATGTTTGAATTCTCGCACTTTTTACCTTGTTAGGCTATGTATCTGTTTGCATTTGGGATTCCAATTTTCGTCAACAGCGGTTACCCTACTCCTCACGTGAAGTGGAACTTGTGGGTTGTCCACAAGCTTTTACTCACCCTTGTTTATGGCTTCATTTTGTTTATGTATCATTCTAGGTGGAGAGAAAGGTTGCCCGGTAAGTTAATTGCTTGCATTGTTATATTGTGTGTTTAATTAGTTTTATGATAGCAGAATTTCTCGTCCTTTTTTTGCAGCGAGGCCTGCATACTACAAGTATGTTACTATTATGTTCATCTTGAATGCAATTGCATTGTTTGCTTGTGGTATTACTGGAAATGGTGCTGCCTTTGGTTTCTGGTTAGATGCTTCTATAGCTTAGCAGAAAAGTTATTCTTTTGAGCTTTTTACTTTGGCATTTTTCTCTAAAGCTGTGTTTACTTTTGTCAACAGGTTATACCATTTCACAGTTGTATGTTACCATGCCTTTTATCTTCCCCTGCTGTATATAACATTTCTGGCAGACTTTTTTCAGGTCATAACATCCTGCATTTAGGGTTCAGCTTTTACTATTCTAAGCTTGGTCTTGTTTCCTTCTATCATTGATCTGAATGATTGTTGTTATTGTGTTGATTACAGGAGGATGATTTGCACTTGGAGAATGTGTACTATTCTGAAATGAAAGATGCTGGTTTCTTCGAAGCAGATTGGAACTGATGTGATATCAACTGCTAGATTAGATTAATAAGGCCTCAATGCACTAATTGCACGGTACTCGTTAACGAAATATGTAAATAAAGAACTATATTAGTAAATCGCATAATATATAAATTTTTATAAAGAAAATGTTATTGGCCACAAGTTAAGGCTATTTATGGTAATACAAGCTGAGGATTGTAAGCTTAAAGCTTTATAACAATGAAGCTAGTTGAAAATTGTAGATTTTTTAAAGTTTATAACTGCATAAGTAGCTTATAAAATTATAAAATTAAATTATTTGATAAATTAGTTATAAAATTAAAATTATTTTTATCTAACAAAACGTACTAATAATTATTAATATTAAAAAATGAAAAATAAAGGACTGTTCTGAAAATAAAGAGAACAAAATGGTAGTATGATTAATATATTAGAGTTTTAATTGTGTGAAGGGAGATAAATTGTCTTTTTTAATAAAATGAAAGGTAAAAATGTAATAAAAATGTTGATAATTTGTTTTTAAAAGTTAATCCTCTTTTTAGATGATTTTTAAAAAGTTTATGTGAATTAGCTACAAGTTTTGTTTATAAACATAGCTTAATAACATATGCATGATTATATTGAAAAATTCTGTTAATGCAATGAATCAATTTCTTGCATTGATTTATGCAGATATGTTATAGCTTACATTACATTTCATGTTGCATCTTTTACCCTTGTGTTCAAGAGATAGAATTTTTTTTTTCCTTTTTTTACCCTTCTTGCATGACACTTGTTCTCCTCACTTACGCAATTTTTTAAAACTAAAATATCTTATGGGAAACTAATGTTTTACAAATATAAAAATAAAATTACCCCAAAGTCTTATATAAAATATTAACATTTAAAAAAAAATAAAAGCTTCATTTAGTTAAATTACATTTTCAATGAAGGATATAAATGTCGTTATAATAAGACGTCACAATTTTCTTTCTCTTCACTTTCTTCTCATATTCTTTATTTATTTTTTCGAATGAATTAATTCTACCTGACAGTAATAGGGAGTGCATGCTAATATCTTAATTACAAAGGGGTCCGGAATTGCAGCAATGAGCAATGCTCATAATTATGAAGCAAATATACATCATCGCATTCGCTGCTCGATAAGGGAGGGATCTCTTTCCTAATTTGAATTCGTACATCATGTGCACAAAATTCATTGGAAGAAAAGGGAGCATAAACAAGCTAATTACGTCTTTAGTTTCACTAAATATTTTATCCGTTTGTATTTTTCTCATGCTCCCTTGGTTACCACACAATACGATACAAAATTCCTAGAAAAATTAGAGAGCCTCAAATTTAATTAAAATTGATACTCGACTGAACTTCTAATAAATTTATAATTAGACCCTCTTTTATATTTTATATATTGATGTTTAACTTTTATTTTATTTAAGTTTTTACACTTATTTATATATTAATTGTACAGTTTATATAAAAAAAATCAAAACTAGGTTTAAGACATGTTTTGAGCCTAAATTAATTGTAAAATAAAGTTTTGTAGCAGTCAGTAAACCCAGATCCTATCATCAAGCACGTTAGTGCTTTGAGTCCATACACAGTTATGCTTACAGCCTTGCACGATCGTGTTCATTTGCGGCAAACCCAATAAATGAAGAACTTTTACCCTAAACCCTATTAAAGAAAGACTTCAGACATTTTATTCTACATCTTTCTCCTCGATACACATTTCATCTTGTTTCTCTTACACAGAATCATTGACATACTCTTCTTGAAAACCAGAAAATCATCTCTTTCTAGTTTGCTTTTTTTATGACTTTGTTTACGATTGTTTTAATTTTTTTCTTTAATATAAGTAACTAAGTTCATAGTTAAGGTTATAAAAATTATTGTTCATTGAATTTATAAGATTTTAAAGTTTGAATATATATTTAGTTTCCATTCATAATTAGCTTTTATTTAATTGCACATAATTATAATTCTAATTAATTATATCATCAGACAATCATATCTCGATTAATTAATAGATCTATAGAATAAAAAGAGTCAAAGAATAATGTAAACCAAATTAATATTTTTTTTCAATCGTTATTAAATTAATAAGTTCATAAGTATTTTATACTTTCTTTAATTGATGTCTTACATGATTATTAAGGACATTAATTTAGAAAAAAGAATAATAGTATTGCATAATCATTGAGTATTAATAGTATTTGTATGAATGATTAATGATCACAAAAAAATCAAATTTAAAGTTAAACAAAAAAATTAAATAAAAAAATCTATATACCCTAAGTTTCTCTCCTATAAGTCCAGTCAAAATATGTATTATATTATTTACTTTTATTTATAATTAATTTTATAATTAAATTCTGATTCTTACTTAATTTCACATTTTTTAGGTTCAAATAATTGAATTAAGAAATTTTTAATAATTAAAAATCAATTTTTGTGAGGCAATATTTTAAAAACTTTTTTTAAAATCTTTTATTATTTTTGGTCGGATTGCAAGTAAATGATAATAATTATAACAAAGACCACTAGAATTATGACAATGACCAGTGTACACCGATTATGGAGCAAGTTTAAGCGATTGCATCCTCTCTGCTCAACAGCAGTAAGTATCATTGCCATAATTTTACAAGCCCTTGCGAATGCAAAAAACCACGACCTTCGTATAATTCCCCCCGCTAATTTGTTTTTCTTTTCAGACCTATGAAACAAGGCAACAGCAGAATATGCAATTCAAACACTCAAGAGTCAAGACACAACTAATATGTTTAACTAAGCATGTCTACTAGAGATGTTTTTCATCTGGTACATGTTTACTCTAAGGACTCTGTTTACTGATGATCTCCTCAATAAGATCTGCCGCTTCCTGAACTGTTGTGATGCTCTGTGCGCTATCTTCTTCTACACTGATACCAAATTCCTCCTCAAGCCCCATCACAATCTCAACCTAGAGGGCATAGCATGTAAAAGTAATTCACAACAATCAAATCAAGTGTCTTCGCCATTAATTTATACTCAGATTTTGGTAAATAAATCCAAGGAGCATTGAACAGAAGCAATTGCACTGTCTGGCAATATGTTAATTACCGTGTCAAGTGAATCAGCTCCAAGAGCTGCAAATTTTGACTCGCCAGTAACAGTGGAGTCATCTGGTATAGCCAGCTGCTTCCTTACTATTTTGCACACCTTTTCTACAGTCCCAGGTTTAGCCTACTCAATGAATCCAACAAAAGCATGAAAACATCAGATATACAACCCCTCCCCAAATACATGTATAAGAAAATAAGATGTGTGATACAAGATTCTGAGGTTATAAAATATGGGATTTGATTCTTCTAAAATGGAGGAGTGCACTTTAAAGAATAAATAGCATTTATAATCATTAGTTAGATACTTAACAGTTTAAATTGTAATGAATACACACTATAACAAATTATGTAGTTGTTAAAATCTCAATCATTGATATATTAGTCAACAGCTATAACTATACTTTATCCTCTAAAATACATCTCACTTTAAAAGAGCTAAATTCTAAAATATGTATGCTACTTCATCTTTATATTTTTCTGCGAATATACCTTTTCATCTTTCTCATCACAAAATCTCTTAATCTATCATTGTCCCAACTTCTCACTGTAAGACTTCACGAGGTGTAGTCCATACAAATTTCTATTAACGATAGTTTCAAGCAGTCTAGCACGCAGAAGTAAAATTTCTAAAAGAAGGCTGAAGCGTGTCACTAATAGTTACATACAGCGCAGGAAATTCTAAGACGAACTGAGCGTGGCTGCAAGCTAAAAGAAACATTCCTTCTCCCAATGCTTGAAATTGAGCTAGACCTTGGAAAAGCAATTGAATTAAATGCCTGTTCAACATATCCATTCCAAAAAACTTCATCAAAGAACAAAATAAGAACTAAACACTAATGCCAGTTTTCACACTAGAAATATTGTGAACTATTGGAGAGGATCATTTGTGTTGTTCTGATGTGCAATGCAGGAAAACAATACGCAAAGTATTTCACATATTTTTGTCCATAATTTTCAGCTTCAATAATAAAATTGGATTGGCAGCCATAAAATAGTTTTGCAAGCAGAGTTAAGTTAATCACATAATACAGTTTCCAAATTCATCGTTCATTAAATATAAAGCAAAAATACAAGCACTAAGCCACTTTCTTAGTCTGTTCTGTATCGTTCAATAGATGAAAATCTCAGGAGATACATTTTTACAAATTGTAAAACAACACAAAACATCAATTACGAAATCAACCAGATTTTGCCACGAAACATGTTATATTATAGTGTTCTACGCAAATCGATACACACGTAGTATCGTTGCATTACATGCAAACAATATTTGACAAATTAGAGAAAAGCAGTATCAAATCACAATCAACGAAATATGATCACGTTCTAAACCACAAAACACAATTTCAGAAAAAGAAACTCCGCATAAGTGGAATAGAAAAATAGCAAGTAAGAATAATAATGAAAAGGAAACAAATAAAAAGAGAATCGGAGGATTTGAAAAAGCGAATAAAAAGAAGAGTAAAGGAAAGCGCAGAAAAGCAGTTATACAGAGAAGGTCCATAGCGCGAGGAAAATGGAAATGATACCAATCTGCGATTGAAGTGAGGAGAGAGAGAGCGTAGAGAGAGTGATGCTCCGGTGAGCGTATTCGTCGTCATGAAGATTGGCGCAAAGATGAAAAGAGAATCAGAGAATTGAGAAGGTGGCGGAGAATGCGAAGAGCGTGAATAGTGTTTGCTTTAAGGAAACAACAAATACACAGTTTCGTCTTTGATTCTTGACTCTCACTTCCGAGCTGAAATACTCCTTCTCTCTCATTTGGGCCATCCCATGCTCCACTGTGGAGCCCAATTCACAGGACCAGGAGGTGCGTTATTTCGTGTAGGGATTTTTTTAAAGGTAATTTCTACTTACCTTTTAGACATTTTATGCTATTTCACACTTAAAATAATTAACAAATAATAAAACTAATGATTTAATTAGAAAATATGTAAATATTTTTCAATTTTTAAAATATTAAAAAAATTAGGCTGTCAATCTAAAACAAAAAGTATATAATGTTTTTTTAAATTTATAGTACTGTGATAAGCATATTTTTTTAATTTGTATTGCATTAAGTTTTTTTCATTTCTAAAAATTTAATTTTAGAATTAAAAATTTTGAAATAGTGTTCTCGAAATTAAATTTTGGAAATAAATAGAGCATGATGGTGTGAAAAGAAAGGCCCTAAAATGATGGCAAAAAATATAAGTTTTGCAATGCAACAGCTTTAACTTTTGACTGTGAATTATACATATAACTGCTAATATGCATTGGGCCAAATAAAGTACAAACGAGAAAGTAAGGCACGGAGCCCAACTGACCCTACAGGAGTTGGGTTAAAATTTTGAAACTACCTTAATTAGTATGTAAAGAATGGATTTGAAAAAACATTATAAATCTTAATTTATATTGACAATTTAAATAAATTAAAAAGAGATTATTTTTCTATATTCATTAAATTATTTCAAATGCCCCTAAAATGATAAAAATGCATGTAGAAGTATAACTTTTTGGTGTGAATTTCACATGTAAAATTGTGATGATGAAGTTGAAAGAATTGACATTGGTTTGGGTTGCTTAGTTGAAGAATTGGTGTTTGTTCTTTATGATCATTTAATAGGAGGGGGGATAAAGTTTTGGCACAGTTGTAGCGAGTTCCCTTGTCATGTTTTGAATTTGAGGTTTGCATGTACGTTTTCATTTGCCCCACGGTAGGTTTGGAGAAAGTGTGGTGGTAGCTTTAAAAAAAATAAAGGAAGGTCAAATGTTGTTTTCATCATAGTCCATTCATGTTTTGTCATCTCAAGTCTCTTTCAGGTTCAGATTTCTCAGCTAATCTCCCGGTTTCCTTCATTTTTGTTATTCTGAAATTAATGTCCAAAACAGGTGCACTTATTGTATCCTGATGTTAACCCTCCCTCTGTCAATGCGTGAGCCAATTTAAACTATATATTTTTTATTGAAATGTTTTTTTATTAAAAAGTATTAAATAAAATAAACCTTTATTAACGTTGTTGTATATATTTTTTTTATTAAAAAAATATGAGAATCAGTTTTTTAATTGCAAAGCAGATAGGTTCTGAGCAACTTAATCTTGATCGTAAAATATACTCTACACTCCTCTCCCTTCTTATAATTATAAACTATACTATAATTTATTATTTTACAATAAATTAACTTATTTTCACTGGACTTACTTAAGTTAGTACTAGATAAATTTATATATTTTTTTAAATGATTTTGTTAACATTAATTTTTAATTAAGATTTATTAAAAATATAATTTTTATTACAAAAAATTATTTATTAGGTTTGTTTATTTTGATATTATAATTTTTAATAAAAATTTATTATTTCTAGTTCCTTCAAATTAACTTTGAGAGCTGAAATTAATATTTTTTTTAAAAAATCCATAGAAAGGATAGAGGTATTAATTTGTTTTAAATATTAATTCTATTTTAAAATCGAAAAAAATTATGAAATTGACACTTTTTATATACAAATTTTAGTTATGATTTATTATTTTATGAAGAGTTTAATTATTTCTACTGGATTTGCATTCTTACACAAACTTACATTACTGTCAGAAAGGGTTACCATTGGTTGAAGCAGAATTGAAAATGGATTTGGAAATTAACGCTTTATTTAGATATAAAAAAATTAAAAAATATATAAAAAATTAATAATATTATTTACATATTAAATCTTCTATTATCTTTCCTTTTTAATATTAAACATTCAAACAAACAAAAATTAATCATTCTTTTTCTTTTCTCTTAAGTCATTTAAATATTTTTTTCCTCTTAACTTTTAAATAAAGCGTAAAAGTACGAGAAAAAACAAATTTTTCTTCTAACTTATTTTTCGTGGTTCTATCCCTTAACTGTAAGATTTCATTGTAATATAGATTTCTCTTTTTTGTGTACCCAATCGTCAAAAGTACTGAGGAAAATAAAAAAAAATAACGAAGTCTTATATCACTCAAACAAAACTGTCTCTTATATAAAAATTATAAAATATCCTATAACTAAAACTATTCAATATGATATCTTGTAAAAGCAAACTATTTGTGAAGGTGAAAATTGTGTAAAATAATGTAAAGGTGAAAAAAAAGGACAAACTTGAAACTATTGTTGGCAAATTAATGTAGTTGCACGACATCGAAAGGTAAAAGTAAAATAAAATTGGTAAAAGCTCTTCGATGATCAGTATTATGCCTTCATTGACCATTCCGTTGATAATCATTATTTTGCTTTTTCTCTTTTGACACGCTTTTACTTAATAACAATCTACATTTGCATATTAGACAAATTACAGTTCATAACTCATAAGTTTGTTAAAAGAAAAATTAATGTGATGGAACTATATGTGCATCATATTGGCCGTCATTCTACTTTAACTTAATAATACTTATTTTCTTAAAAATAATTTAAAAGAATTGAACTTATATTTTATTTAAATTATAAAAGCTAAAATTACAATTAAGTTTTCAAAAATTAAAAGAGGGAATTAAATTTGAGGAAACAATAAATTGTTAAAATTTTAAAGAAATTTGAAGTTAAAATATTAAATTTTTACATACTTAATATGAATAATTTAAGAAATATTTTCAAAAAAGTACTCTCTTTGATCTATTTTATAGGATACATTCTAGAAGATTTTAGTGGTTATTTTTGCAAGACACTTATAGTTTATATGATGTATGTATTGTATTTTTTTTCATTTGTCCTCAATAATAATGTTATTGATAAGCTAAATTGAAATTAATATGAAGAAATTTTGATATTAAATTTTTAATGATATTAAATAAAAGTAAAATTATCATATTTTAATATTTATAAAAAATAACAAAATTTTACTCTTTTTTTTTTATCGATTTGTATTGTTAAATGTCTTATACAAAGGATCAAAGAGAATAATATTTTTAGAAAATATTTTTAATTAATCTTTTTAAGAAAAAAATTTCATGACCTGATTAAGAAATTAAGAATTTGACACAGGTCAAAAAGATTTTGTAATATAAAATATAATTATACGTCTCAATATTTGTAAACATAATCTTACTTTATAATATTTATTTTATTTTAAACTTTTATTACTAACTCAATATTATAAACCTAAAGAGTTATTAAAATTGAAAGTTTATAACCATCAGCACCACATATATTAATTTCTTTTAACTTTAATTTAATTTTTAAATGAGCATGAATGTAGCCAAAATATGTTTAAATTTTTAATTTATTTAAATATTTATTCAATAAATAATAGTTTGTATATTTTATCACAAAATTTATTAAAATAAAATAATAAAGTGTGTTCTTATAAGCTAAATTAAATAACTTATTAAAACAAGATGGACTAAACTATTTTTATAAGCTTTTCTTAAACTATTCCAAGTGAGACTTTATTGATGTAAACAAAATTTATCACAGCAAATTCATATTTTAAAAAAATACTTTTAAAATAATAATATTTTTAAGATATAATATTTAAACCAAACGTGAAATTAAAATATTATTAAAAACATAATACTTAAAAAATACTATTTCCAAAAACCAAACGTTGGAGGGACATGAACGTTGAAACGAGACACATTGTTTTGTGTTTTTTTTTTTTTTTTTTTTTTTTTTTTTGTGCTTAAAACGGGACACGTTGTTTTGTTTTCTTCGTGCCGGAAGCTGAAAGGGGATCCTTTGGAATTGCACGTGTAGGTGGCTACACAAAAGAGATCGTCACCCCGCAAATTGGAATTTTCTTTTACTAATTTTATTTTGGCCTTTTCATAAACATCAAACCAAAAGCTGTCTTTATTCACTGGAGTTTATTTTAAATTTATAATTTTGTTAATATCAACTTTATAATTAAATTTAAGCATATAAATTAATAATTTTTTATTAAAAATATATTACAATATTAAAGTTAGAAAAATATATTAAATATTATTATTTTAATAAATTATTATTATTATTTATTATTTAAAAAATCAACTCTTAAAATGTTATTTTTTTAAAATTTATATATGTATTACATTAAAACATCATAAATAAGTTCATAAAAGGGTTATTGAATTTTTAAAAATTTGTAACTATAAATTAATATTTTTTAAAGTATTTAATTTTTTTTTTGTTAAAATAGATATTCATTACACTTTATATATTTAAGATAATCGATAATGTGATATCCATGGATCATCCTCTAATCTAATTTATAATTTTAAATTTGAGTATCAAATATATCACTTTCAATAAAATTACATATATTATGTGGCGGGTAAATGACATATTGTTAATGAGTGAAATAATTTTTTAACATTTAATATTATTAATCTACTTTATTTTTGGTTATAATTAAAAATATTTTTAAAATATAAAAAATTAATTATATTAATTATTAAAATATTAATAAAAATAATTATTGAGTTTTAAATAAAAGACAGATAATAGAGATAGAGACAGTACTTTAAAAGCAGAATAGTAGAAGGCCGTTGCTAATGAATTGGAATCAAAAGGTCTACTTTAAGATAAAGCTTTTTAGAAAAATTAAGGCATTAAAAAACATGAAAGGTCTCATGCAATTAACAATTATAGAACTAAATTAATAAAAGGATTTACATCGAGAATAAATTTGACAATAACATTTGTTTTTCAAATGTTAAAAAAAATCACATTAAAGCACACACAAAAAAAATCAATACATAGTTAAAAAATTGAAACTGCTACATAAACAAACATAGTATATTGATACTGTTAGAAAGTCGACAAATAAGATAAATTGGATAGTAAAATACCCAAATATAGACTCGTTCAGTTAGTAAATCTCCTTTTTCAGTAGGGGTATTTTTTTCAGCAGCCACAACCCCAAAAAGTAAAATAAGAAGTCGATTATTAGAGTTCAGATCGGATAAATTTATATAAAAAATAATAATAATAAAAATTTGTTATAAATTAAAATAATTAATGTTTTTTTTATTTTTGAGAAATTTTTTATTTAGATTTTAAAAGAAATAATTTCTAATTTATATAAAAATATTAATTTTGATAATAAATTTTGTTATTTTACCAAAACTTGTCTAAGTTTACGGAGGATTTGAATTTGGATAATTAATAATAAATAAAATGAAATTATGGGAGGGATAAATATTTGGAAGTGCAAGCAAGATCTTTGGATCTTTGACAACGGCACCACTTCAGCAGCGTCCTTTAGTGGCAAAGATTAAAAAGAAAAGAAGGAAAAAGTGCGTCCCATTCCATGCACGATCAGTTTATCACGTTTTCAATTTTTAATTACTGAATCGGCTGAGCCAAGCTAAAGAGCCAGACAGCTAGCTACAGTGATGAACACCATCGTTACTACCCACGATAGAGTGCTGATAATTTTTTTAATATTAATTTTTTCTCAATTAATATTAAGTATAGTAAAATAGTTAAAAATCATCACTAAATGATTTTTAAAAAATAAATTTTAAATTCATATCTTTCATATATATATATATATATATATATTAACTTATCTTTAATTATCAACATTGTAATATTTTTTCTTTTTTTCTTTTAAATCAAAAGCATTTCACATAACCTTTGTAACTTAGAGCTTGAGATTCAATTTTAATTTAAAAAGTTATCTGTACATCAAAATAATATGTTATAAATCAAATTAAATTGAGTCGCAAAATATTGGTTCTGTTTAGATCATTTATTTATTTATTTATTGTTAAATTATTTTATTTTTAAATTTTAATCTATTATTATACAAATTTTAACTATTTTTAAATTTAAGAAAGTTATTAGCTCAAAAATTAAAATGAACTTGTTAAAAATAAAAATAGAAAAAAATAATGATTGAAATGAAAAAATTATTGATAGAGAAAAAATAAAAACATTTAATTGAGAAAAATAAAAATGTAAAATAAATAAAAGTGACACACTTCATATTTATATAATGTTATAATAAAATTGAGTAAATAAAATAATTTTTATGTGAAAAATATAATTTAAAATAATATAAATGTGATTCAATTTAGTTTGATTTGGTTCAGTTTTACATACTTTATTACATACTTCTTGAACTGTAATTCTTTTAACTTGAAGGTAATGCCATTATTTTTAAGGACAATATAAATTACTCTTATAAAAATAAGGAGTTTATATCAAAGAATAAAATTTTAAAAAATCCATTATATGTTTATATAATATAATAAAATTGAGTAAGAAAATAATTTGTATATAAAAAATACAATTTAAAAATAATATAAATACAGTTCAATTTTGTTTGATTTAATTTTAAATGTTCTGTTACATATTTTTCGCACAATAATTTATTTTAATGTGCTAGTCATTTTAAGGATTGGCACATTAAAATTTAAGGATAATATTAATTAGTTTTGCAAAACGAGATATATTGAAGAACAACATTTAAAACACAAATGTTAGAAATACAATTTTCTAAAAATATTTTTAATTATTGATTAAAATTTATTAAAAATATAAAAATACAAAAGAGAAGTATAAAATTAAGGGATTAAAAAATTAAAATTTACATTATTTTTAAATTTTTAATAAAATTTAACTAATAATAAATAATATATTAAAAAGTAAGATTAATTTTTTATATATGATATTTAAAAATAATATATATGAAAAATGATATTTTTAAAAAAATTAAAAAAATACAGGGTTTAACAATATTTAATGTAAATTAAAAAAAAGAACAAATTAAAAAAAAAAGCTCGCCTAGAACAATTTTCAAAATAATAATAAATTTTAAAAAATTTTCATATTTTTTTAATTTTACAAAAAAAATCTAATTTTTTTAATTTCAAAGTAAAAAACCATACAAGAAAGTAGACCCTAAAAAAGTATTAATGACGTTTCTTAATTTAAAATTATTATGTCAATTAAAAATTTAAAGATAAATTTAATTACTAAATTTATTATCACAGTTTTAATTAGTATTCTTAAACTAAAGATCACACTCTTTAATTGTTATTAAAGAACTATACAGTTTGTTAAATAATTGATTTTATATTTTCATTATTTTAAAAATATATAGTTTAATTAACTTCTAAAGAGTAAATCCTAAATTTCTATTATTGGGTGTTGTAGCCGAGCTGCGCCGGGCCATGGAAAGGAAAGGAAAAAAAAAAAAAAAAAAAAGCTTCGTGTCGGTAAAAGGTCAGTAGCATCAACGTCTTCCATACAAGTCCCTTTCCCTTCCGATGCTACGTGCTCCTCACTTGAAAAAGGGGTCAATTTCGAAAATTATAAAAAATAAAAAAGAATTCACAACAATATTTGAAGAAAAAAGCGTTTCTGTTTTCCTTCTTTCCCTTCTTTAGTTATTCAATAATCCCACCATTGATCGCTCTGATTCGAAGAAGATCACGATTCACACGCTTATTCCCATCCAATGCCTCCATTCTAAGCATCTCTCTCTTTGCCTAGTTTAAACGCTGTCGTTTGTTCCGCTTTCCCTTTTATTCTTGTTCGGAAAAACGACTCCTACTTGTACTATTATTGCTTCGCGGTGCCGGTAAGTTCTCGCTCTATTTTACGACTTCATTTCATCTATAATTTAATGCTTTATTTCCTTTTTCTTTTCCTTTTTTCAAATTTTCTGTTTTCCAGTAAACGAGTTCAGTTCAGTTGAGTTGACTCGTTGAGCTGGGACGACTTGACTCGTTCTCCTCTTCTTCTCTGTCTTCTGCGTCGAATCGAACTGCTTCAGTCAAACGCTGTCGTTTTAGGTGTTGATCTCAGCCGAAGGAGTAATCATGAGCAAAGCTCCACTTCTCGAAATTGAACCCAAGGAACTCAAATTTATGTGTGAGTAAATTAACAAATGCGAGTGTTGTTATTTATGCTCACGCATGCTGATGCTGTTGAATCTATTATAACTTGTGCGTTTGTTTGATCAATTGGATAAAGTGCGCGATTTTTGCCTTTGTAGTTGAGTTGAAGAAGCAAAGTTCATGCTCGGTTCAATTGACTAATAACACCTACCACCATGTCGCTTTTAAGGTTTGAATACCATTCTTTTATCCCCATTCGATGGTGTTTGGCATAGTATGCTGGAGAGATTGATTGTTTTGGTTTGACATATGCAGGTCAAGACGACGTCGCCGAGGAAATATTCAGTGCGACCAAATGTTGGGGTTCTCATGCCAAATGCTACTTGTGAATTCATAGGTATATCTTCGTCTTTTGTGAGTTTGTTTGTTGTTATTTATTAAAATTTACACTTTGACTACTTGTTTTATGGTTTTAATGAAGTCTTTTTAAAATGAATTTTATGTGACTGGACGAGAATATTCAATTCTACTTGTTCTGGTCGGTATCTGAAAGAGGTGTTTGTGATTTCCTGATGCAACTGGATCAAGTTCATTATTTAAGCTCTCTTGAGAGAGTAAGTTTAATAATTGTGGTGGATAGATGCCAAATGGCCTGAATTTGACACGTTAGAGTTTTCTTTCAATACTTAACTTTCCTTTTCATGTTTAAACTGTTGTAATTCGAGCTTAACTTATCCTTGCAGATAGCAGTTTTTGCATGAAAAATAATTTAAGGAATATCGGTTTTCCATAAACAATGAGTGAAGTTGAATCCACATATATGGGAATTAATTCTAGCATCCCAGCTTCTGTTTTTCTCCTTAAGTTTGATTTTTGTTGTTTTTATTTTTGCATCAAGCAGTTACAATGCAAGCCCAACGGGTAGCACCAGAAGATATGGTGTGCAAGGATAAGTTCTTAATCCAGAGCACAATGGTTCCTGCTGAAACAGCCAGTGAAGATGTTACTTCCAGCTTGGTATGGATATTTATTGGACTGTGATCTTATACTCATGAATGTTTTATTATTAATTTTTACATTTTAAAATATTTTTGGTATTTTTTGTAATGGCAGTTTGTCAAAGATGGAAGTAAATACATAGAGGAAAATAAGCTAAAGGTGACACTGATCAGCCCTCCTGAGTCACCTGATCTCTCACCTATTAATGGAGACTTCAAGAATGGTCTTGATTATGAAAAAATTCCAATATATAGTAAAGATGAAATCCAATCCCCAGAACCCATGGTCAGAGGAAACTTCACTAATGTTTAGCTTTGAATTCTTTTCTTTCCTTCACTTCTTTTTCTTTCATAGATATTTCAAATCCCTGAAAATGATAATTGAATTTCTTAGTTACATAATTTAAGGGTACATCAGTTATTATTTCTGAATTGTTATTTTCATAATTTGAAAACTACATTGTTATAAAGTTGCAGACTGTCCACAGCTTCCCTGCTTCCTTGAGTCCCTTGGGAATGCATTCTTTGAACATGTTATATGTGCCCTTTTTTTTGTTGTTGTCATCTTTGTTGATGTTGGTAGCCTTTGTGCATGCATGGATTATCAATTTTACATATTCAATTTATACTCTCAAATGTTTTGTTCTGTTCCTGGAATATTTCAGGTTCTTAAAAATCCAGACATTGTTCATGAGGTATTAAAGCTTGAAGAGGATTCAGAGTTGAAGCTTGAAGAGGATACGGAGTTGAAGCCAGAACATGATGTGGGGTTGGACACTTTGAAGGTTGTAGGGGAGCCAATAGAAAAAACTGGGTTAAAAGTGTCAAAAAATGAGGAGTTGAGCATAATAAAGGATGTTGAGGAACTCAAGCCACAAAAAAAGTTGGAGTTAGAAGTGTCAAGAGATATGGATTTGAACAATGTAAAGAATGCAGAGGAGCTGAAACCTGAAAAAGCAGCAGATTTGCATGTGTCAAAAGTTCTTGATTTTGGCACAATAAATAATGTAAAAGAACTGAAGCCAGAAAAAGAAAAAGAGTTAAAAGTGTCAAAAGATATGGAGTTGAAAACAGTTAAGGATGTTGAGGATCCAAAGCAAGAAAAAGAAGCAGAGTTAAGAGTTTCAAAGAGTGTAGAGGAGCTGAAATTAATAAAAGCTATTGAAGAGATGAAGTTAAAACTAGATGGACTTGAGTCAAAATTAAATGAGGTCAGGCATGCCACCATTCTTTTGCTGTGAAAATTTTTATCTTCTTGCATATGTAACATGCTTCCTTGCAAGTTGCATGTTGAAACAAATTTTCTTTTGAACGGATCAAGAATTGGTTATTAATGCCCTGTCTTAGCAATATTTTTGGGCGTATGTTTTCATTTGAGTGGTTTTGAAATGATATTTAGACCCTTTTCAGCTCATTGTAATATTTACTAGCATACTTGTTTACATTATACAGATTTCCAGATTTTAGCATGATTGTGATTATTAATGAACATATTTGATTGTTAGGTACATTGCTTTCTCCCTTCCCTTCATTCTATGAAATTGTATAGACATGGTTTGTGATCTGCTACATTGTGTATCATAAAATATGAGTTGGAATTAGAAAAATTACAGAGACAGCAAGGACTGCCTTTTTTTTTTTTATGTCTTTTTGGATGTACATGGGTGCACTGTGTGGCATGATTAAGGCGGCCCACAACGTGGTGTAACTGTATTAACATATTATTATGTTATGCCTTTTTAGACTTTGACTAGTTGAAAGCTCCTGATGTTCCTTTGGACTCAATTCTATGTGAAAACATTTTTCATTTTATTGCATTTGTTATACCACTGTCCACTGGCAATGAAGCAATGGAGCATACGGGTTTCCTCATTAAAATGAAGCAAGAGTAGCAGTGATTCTTGAGTTTTATGCTAATCTGAATTGATTTCACTAAAGTGATGACAATGTTTTCTCTTCCTTTGCAGTCTGGAGTAACAATATCAAAGTTAACAGAGGAGAGGAGGCTAAGCATTCAAGAGACAAAAATCTTGCAAGAAAAATTAGTAAGCTTGGGAATCACTGTCTAGTTTACTATTGATGGTTTTTTGGCCTTTATTCTTTGGTTCTTGCCATAATACGTGATATGGTTTGCTTAGCATAAATTCTGTCATTTTAGATATTGAAGTACTATCTAGTCATAGGATGGTCATTTAGTTGTTCTGGAGGATGTGAACCAGGGGGAGAGGGGTTTACCCCTAATATAATTGTAAATTTGCAATTTAGATTGGCGAATTTACATTTTACTTGTTGGGGATCGATACAGATGTTGCTTTGCTGCTTTAGAATTCTTTTCCATTTACATGCTTGAACTTTCGCAATTTCCGCTGTTTCCTCTTTTGGGGTTTCTCTTTATCATTGTGTAAGACTTGAGTAGATTTCATTTCTTAAATTCTGGGTTGTATTATTTTTGCAGGCAGATCTTATTGATAAAGGTCCAAGAAAAGTTCAAGTCGGGTTCCCACTTTTATATGTCTGTATGGTGGCGCTAATCTGTGTCATTTTGGGATACCGATTACACTCTTGATGCCTGGGCAGTCAATCATCTGCAGGAAGCTACTAACATTTTAAATTTGCTCAAGTCTGTTAATAACAAAAGTTTAGGCATAAATCCACTTTATAAAATGTAGTAGTAGGGGATCTGTATACTTGAGGGTCGATGATGTTCGATCTGATCTGTAGTCTATAATCATGGACGTCTGTGCATTTGTACATGCAGAATTGCCCACTTGTAAAAGTTCATATTAATATGAGATATATGGAAGTCAAGTAGATGAATTCTGTGGATAGTAGAAAACTGGAAACTGTTGGGTACGCTACTTGAGATTGTTCATTTCTCTGTAATCTCGACTTTGATCAGTGTTTCTCTGTGGGGTGGTGGCATGAATGTTTAAAAAAGTATTCATAATTGCTGAATTGTCTTTGAAAAACTAGTTGCATTTATAATAAGTGTACTCAAGCTTAATTTTTGGTATTGTTTGTGACAAAGGTTTGTTCATAGTTGCTTGCTAATGTGACCCGTGTATGATAGAGGAAAATATTATAAATAACTTAAAATTTCAAAAATAAAATTAAGATATTATCAATAAATAATAAAAATACCAGGCAGTTGATTATAAAAATTATAAAATGTTTATTAATTAATTTTCACTTTACAATTTAGATATTAATATAATTTTATGTGAAAAACTTTATTCTTGTAAAATGAATATTTATTTTTGTATTTCATACATAAATATACTTTTAAATTTAAATTTTTTTTTTATTCTCATGATAATTGTTAAATTGTAGTAATTTAATTTAAAGATAATTTTTTTAAGGATTTTATTAACTTCAGCTTCAAGGATCCACGTTAATAATAATAAAATTTTATTAAAAAATATTTATTGTGTTTTTATAATTTTATATGTGTAATTTTGTTATAAAAAAAAATTATTTGCGGATGTTTAACTTTAACAAAACTCTTTTTTTAATATCTTCATTCTGCGTGCATGCCCACTTGACAATCAGCCTTTGGCAAAAACTGTGCATGTAAGAAGTTCAAGCGTGTTTGGCAAGCAGTGAGGCCTACTTGTTAATCTCTTTAATTTGTGTCTGTCAGTCGTGTCGTGCTATATGGACCTTGGAATAAGTATGATTTTATATTGAACACATCATGTTAAGTCCTTCAACTTCCTTCTAAAAAAACACCATTACAAATTGTACTGAAACATATCGTTGTTTGAACACCAACAATCTCCATACAGAATATACAGTATATCAGTATATCTAACAGTCAACCTCTTCTTTATAGTCTCAAGTCTGAACGAATAGAAGAAAGGTGGAACCATCGCAATATATAGTAATACACATACATGAATATCTACCTATTTTTATCTAATTTTTATTTTCTCTGCAGCGTAGTGCTCGCACTTGCACTCGTTTTTCATCCTCAAATCTTTTCCGCGTGAAATGACTATCCGCAGAGTGCCGGTATTTATTTTCTTCTATTCTTTTTTCTTTGAACGAAAAACATAACAATGTGCATGCTGATATTCTCTGTCCCAGATAGTTCATGTTAGAAAATTGAAATGAAATTTTCTTGAACAGTGAAGCTAATACACCTAATTGTTAATTAATATAATACGTATATATTGACAAGTGGTGGGAAAATCCAGTGGAGTGGTGCGGATGTTGGAATTAGAAGTGGAGGGAGAAGAAACTCAACACTAATTTGTGGTTCAGTCATGGCGGATACGGTGGAAGAAATGGTGTTTCAGATGGGTAAGGCAAAAGAATTGGGTGCTGACCTAGTGGAGCTTCGCTTGGATTTCTTAAAGGACTTCCATCCCACACAACATCTTCATTTTCTAATTAACAACCGTCCTTTGCCCATTTTAATAGCTTACAGGTAAATAACACAGTATCTCTATTTCTTCATCACTACAGCGTAACAAATGTTTTGTGTGATAAAAAAACTTTCTATTTTTTGTTTATCTTAATTTAAGCATTTAGTGCAGAGGATATTAAGAAATTGTGTTTTGGATACGTGGGTTTGTTTCAGACCACTATGGGAAGGAGGGGAATACAATGGTGATGAAAGCAAGCGACAAGCTGCCCTGCGTCTAGCCATTGAATTGGGGTCTGAGTTTGTTGAAGTTGAGCTCAAGGTAATTTAAGTAGATGCCACACCGTATACCTACCATGCCAAAATTAATAAATACTACTAAATTGAATAACGGTTTTTATAATCCTTACAAAAGATATACAATAAAAAATTAATTAATAATATTTTTATTAAAAATAAAACAATTTAAATATATTGATAGTTATACTGTCCTCAAATCATGAATTATTATATCAATAAAAATTATTGATTTTCTTAATAATATCATTTCCATCTTACCATAAGAGAAAAGACATAAAACAAACTAGAATATACATTTAGTCCTTTTAATTAACAATTAAAAGAAGATAAAATTATTAAAATCTTGTAAATAGACTTTTATTATAATTTATAATACATTTTTAATAATTTTTTATTCTTTAATTGGTATGTTAAAGTTAGTAATTTAATATTGTCTTAGCTTCAACGTAAATAAATAAATAAAAATATTTTGTTTACTTTGATGACATAAATAAGAATAAAAGTAGTACTTAATTTTGTTTTTACATAATTCAGATGCCATCATTTTAATTATAAAATAAGGAAAACATACATTGCAAGAAACTCACTTTATCTTTATTTACTCAATCCAGAAAAGAAATAAAAACCCTTAGAAATAATTACATGAAAACAGTAGAAAAATATAATATAAATAAACGATATTTAATTTGTTTCACCCAGTGAGAGTAGAAATTGAATTTTGGGGTGTGTTTTGTGCACCAAAGGTAGCTGAGGAATTCTACAATTCCATTGGAGGAAAGAGGCCTGAAAAGGTGAAGATCATTGTCTCCTCACACAATTTGGAAAATACTCCGTCTGTGGAGGAAATTGGTAATCTTGCTGCAAGAATTAAGGCTTGTGGGGCTCATATAGTCAAGATTGCAACTACTGCCTTAGACATCACAGATTCTGCACGTCTTTTCCAAGTCTTAGTGCACTCCCAGGTTATTAATTAATTAATTGCCATGGATCAACACCACTTGGTTATTCTTATTCATCAATCATGTGTTTTTATCGTACATTAACATTTCTTTTATTTTCTTAACTATTCTTAAGATTGAGTTTAAGTATTTAAAAGTGAAATTTGTTATTAAAAAGTAAAATATTTATCATACTATAAATTTAAAAATGTGATAAATATTTTATTTTTAAATAAAATTTTTATTATTAATTGTTTAAATATAATTCCATTTTTTCTTTTTCACTTTTAAGTATAATTGGAAAACTTCTTCTGAAATACACTCTCAAGTACTTTCTCATCTCACTAATTCAGTCCAAAACACAGTTAATTTTAATGAGCTCAAAATTTAAAAATTAGACTTAATTAGTATGTTTTAAGAACATATCGATAGGAAAATGATTGAGGAAAACAAACAACACTGTTTGATACTCTCTTGCTATCGGGTAAATTAAGTTTTGTGAGCTCCTTAGATGCTGAATTTAATTACTTGAATAATTGTAGGTTCCAATGATAGGAATTGCAATGGGTGAGAAGGGGCTCATGTCACGGGTACTCTGCGCAAAATTTGGAGGATTTCTAACGTTTGCTTCAATTGAGGATGGATCTCTATCAGCTCCTGGGAAACCAACTATTAAAGACTTGTTGGATTTGTACAATTTTAGACAGATTGGAGTTGGCACCAAAGTACATGGTGTTATAGGAAATCCTATTAGTCACAGCAAAAGTCCTCATCTCTATAATGCAGCTTTCAAGTCTGTGGGATTTGATGGAGTTTACTTGCCTTTGTTGGTCGATAATGTCTCAGATTTTCTCACCACTTATTCATCTCCTGATTTTGTTGGATACAGGTATCGTATCCACTTAGAATCTTCAATTCTGTAACACATAGTTACAGTTTAAATGAATTAATCAGCTTCTCTATTTTACTCAAAACACATTGTGGACCCATTTGGGTATTCTTAGTTTTATAAAAAAAGAGATGATTTTAAGATCTATAGTTGATTTTATGGGGTCCTGCGATTTTTTGTCAAAATTCTGATTTCAATCTCACGATTGCTTCAAGTAATTATTATATCTTTGATAAAAACAGTTACACAATTCCTCACAAGGAGGATGGACTCAAATGCTGTGATGAGGTCGATCCTATTGCCAAGGTATTTATTTAACCTGAATATTTCTATCCCATTTTTCCTGTATGAATTTGGATCCTCTCACTGTTAACAGTCATGTTGAAGAAAGACAACCTTTATTAAACAAGAACCCATCACAATTAGTTGTAGGATCCATTAATTAAATTATTAAAAATTGTATCACTTTCTTTCTAACATGATCATATCATGTTATTTAATAACATGAGAGGATTCAAATCCTTTACCATTTGAACTTATTATACATTCTCAACAAAATCAATTTTGCAGGCAATAGGGGCAATTAGTTGCATGATTAAGAGGCCACATGATGGAAAACTAATAGGCTATAATGTTGATTATCTTGGCGCTATTGCAGCTATTGAGGAAGCACTGCAAGGTTACTATGTTTCTTTGCAGCTGTTGAGGAATGACTACGAAGTTTTTATTCATTTATAGGCTTTCCTTACAACTGTGCAGATTCAAACGAAAGATCAATATCTGGTTCACCTTTAAATGGTAAACTGTTTGTGGTTATGGGAGCTGGTGGAGCAGGAAAGGCACTGGCTTATGGTGGAAAAGAAAAGGGTGCAAGAATAGTTGTTGCCAATCGTACATATGGTGAGAAAATCTTCTTGGTTTACTTAGATTATTCATATATATATATATATATACACACACACACACTAGTGATGAATGATGAAAATGAAAGAGCATGCATTACTTTTTTTTTTTCTTTTGACTAATATCAGCCAAAGCAAAAGAACTTGCTAGTAAAGTGGGAGGAGAGGCTATTACTCTATCTGAATTAGAGAACTTCCACCCAGAAGAAGGGATGATTCTTGCAAATACTACATCTGTTGGAATGAAACCCAAAATTGATGAGACACCCATACAAAAGGTTTGGTGTCAGTGTTGCATATTCTGGTGTCCTCTCATTGATTCAATTATAAATTTGGTTCATTATTTATCGTTTTAATTTTTATGTGAAAAAGTTTATATTTTAATTTTATATAAAAAGTCGTTTAAGGATCAATAAGTTATAATTATTTTTAAATTTAATTTATATTTAACATTATTTTTTATTTTAACTTTTATACTTGCACTTTATTTTGACTCTTGTATATTAAACTCTGTATTTTAATTCCTATCCTCATATACCAATTTTTGTTTAAATTTTTACATAAAAACATATTAATATCATTATAACTTTGATAAATAATAGGCCAAATAATATTTTTTTTTTAGTAAAGGAACTCAAAGCTAAAATAACTAGTAAATCACGAACAAAGATTAAGATTATAATTGTTTTATTGTTATTATTTGTTGAGAAATTTCAGATCAATTTCTCTTTTACAGTGCTTGTTAAATTTGAATGTAAAATTCAACTAGGATAAACAAGGAAAAATTATGTTACTTTAGAATTTAAAGCTAAAGATATGTACCAAAAAATTTACAGCTAAAGATTGATTACCAAAGGTTTTTCCTGTACTGTGCATAATGAGATCAAGGAAGGTTCGTTCTGGTTTATTGATTACGAAGATTACTTCTGCTTGAAATTGAAGTTAGGAAAAAAGTTAATAAGTTATTAATCAATTTTTATTAACATTTATTAATTATGTGGTAAAATTTAATAATGACCCCAGAAGAGTGAGTTTATTAAGGTCCATGTGAGATTTCTCCCCAATAATAATAAAATTGATAGGGATGCTCGTGATTTTGATCAAAATAATTCTGAGAAAGAAATAACTATTCAATTGATTTAATTATAAATTTAAAACTATTATAATTTAATTTTATGAGATAAAAACAATGATAAAATACATAATGACTATGATAAAGATTAATTCAAATTATTAAAAATCTTATATAATAAGTCGTAATATAATTAGTATTGTAATGACATTCATCAGAAACTAAAAGTTGTAAATTTTAATTATAAATTATATTTATACATATAAACTTGGTTCTTCTAGGCTCCAGCAGTTAATGGACAAATTGAAGGTAGAATCACAACAACTGCATTTTATGTACTTTTAAAATGCCACTGAATTTGGTTACCCTCATGTTACTTTTATGACTCCTCTCTCACGCCACTTGTTGTTTCTTTGTTCTAACAGGAAGCCCTTAAACACTACTCGTTGGTGTTCGATGCCATTTACACACCCAAATTGACAAGACTTCTTCGAGAAGCGAGAGAAGCTGGACCTGCTATCGTCTATGGTACAGAAATGTTCATCAATCAAGCATTTGTGCAGTTTGAAAGGTTCACAAATTTGCCAGGTTAGACCCAAAAAAGAAAAGAAAAATACCATAGTGATGAATGATGATTATATCCAACGACACACAGAAAAAACCTTTATGTATAATAAATTTTTGTTGAAAATCACATAACATCATTGAATTCAATGCATTGATTGGTTTTAGACTCACATAAAAAAAATTCCTATTTTTGATTTCACCTTGTACTAGCATTCACTTCATATTATCTGTGACAGCACCGAAGCAACTCATGAGGGGTGTGTTGGGAAGAAATACCTGAGAATAAGTTTCAGTTTACTGCAGCTGGTTAGAAGAAGCTTCGTTTCACTTTTAAGGGTTAATTTGAATTCCTATGCAACTTGTGGCACATAACAGCATTGGGAACTTAGTGTTTGATATCTCCCAGAGACACCTGCATTTGTAAAGTACTGTTATTATAAGTTTAAGCGACTGGTTTGGTTCCTGTCATATTTATTAAAGGAGAAGATGAAGCATGTGTGAATTTTTTATGCACATATACAAATACATTAATCTTAACCTGTGCTGTGATGTGAGAAAGTGAGATCGTGAATTGTGCTGAAGATCCACTAGGTAACAACCGTTCCATTTCCTCTGGTGATTGCTTTCTGGGGTAGAATGGTAAATGTACTCGTTATATAGATTAAAAGTTAAAATAATTTATTTATATAATAAAATAAATTTAAAATATATCACTTATTAAATTAATAAATAAATTACAATTTTTTCATAAATTAAGTGTTATTTTAGTATTCTGTGCCAACATTTAAATTTAAAATTTTCAAATTCAAAATATAAAAAAACTTGGATATTAATGATTCAATAATTATAATAATATATGAAAATAAATATGATATATTTAATGCAGGGGTATTTTTGAAGCACATTGAGAAGAAAAAATTTAATAATTTTTCTCTAGTTATTTGACAACTAGTACTTTAATTATAATTTTTCTTATTTATATCTTAAAATAATTATTAAATAAAAAATAATCACACATATTAAGATTATTAATTTTAATATAATGAATGTATAATTCTAGAGCATTGAAAAAAAAAATTCACTTAAGAGGACAAACAGATAATGAGAGGTCATTATGTATAAAATAATTAATTTTAATACATTGATTTATCATATTATTACAATTGTTTATTTTAAAAACCAGGCCTCATCCTTTAATTTAATTGAAAATCTGCCTGATGAATTTTTGCTTTTTCATATATTTAAAAAAAACATAATTGCATTTTATTATCATAACTTAATCGAATCTAATTCAATCACGATTTGACTATAATTAAATTAATATATCATATATTAATACTTTTACTGTTTTAAACATCAATTTAATTTTAAAAACAATGTTATTGGTTACGCCAATAATTTTATTCATAAGAAAATAAATTAAAAAATATATAATTTATAATGATGTCGGAAAGTAAAACACGCATGATTTTGTTTTGGCGCATATCCTAAGGGTTTCTTTTTCCCTCGGAGTGAATGAACGTAAAATTTCACTTTCCCTCTCATTTTCGAAACAATGTTGCTTTGGGGCGCCTTCGTCTTAGTTACAAGTTAGTCACTTAGTTCCATTCTCACCCGCACTGCAAGTAAGTTCCATTTCCTCATTTGCTTTTCAATTTAGGGTTTCACATCATTTCCTTTATTCTTCTGCGTCTAAACACTCTCACTAAATACTTCAACGTTCCTTTCCTATAATCATTTCATTCCGCTTTTAATTTATGTGATTATTGCATGGCATATTTGTGATTTTGGTTTGGTTTAATTTTATTGTGTTTGGTTCGTGTCAATTAGGTGAAAATATTGTGCAGCCGGTGGAATGTGAATTGATACATACAATTGCAGAAGTTTCCCTTTCTGCGTTTTAGTGTGAGATTGAGAGAATTAAGGTGGCTGGATTTTGATTTGGATTCTTTATTATTCCATGGATTGCAACAAGGATGAGGCTGTGAGGGCTAGGCAAATTGCTGAGAGTAGAATGCAAAGGGGTGAATTTGTGGAGGCACTCAAGTTTGCGACCAAGGCCAAAAGCCTCTATGCTAACGTTGAAAACATTGCTCAGATCATTGCGGTTTGTCAGGTTCACAATGCTGCACACAACAAGCTCTTTGGCTCTGACATGGACTGGTATGCAATTCTTCAGACTGAAGGGTTGGCTGATGAAGCAACCGTGAAGAAACAATATAGGAAGCTTGCGCTTCTGCTTCATCCTGATAAGAATAAATTTGCTGGTGCAGAAGCTGCTTTCAAGTTGATTGGGGAAGCCAATGGGGTGTTGAGTGACCAAGTAAAGCGTTCTTTATATGACATGAAGTTTAAAGCCTCTGTTAGAGTTGCTGCTCCTAAGACCCCACTCCATCCCTCAAATGAAAATGTGTTTGCCACAAAAAATCATGGAAATGCAACAAATTATCAGAAGGGTTTTTATTCGAACCCTGCTTCTTCCAACCAGCAATCTGAGCTGAGCACATTCTGGACATCTTGCCAACATTGTAATACTAAGTACCAGTACTACACACATGTTGTAAATGCAACTTTGCGCTGTCAGAAATGTTTGAAAGCCTTTAAAGCTCATGCTTTTAGTTTTGGATATCAGGGTGTCACCCTAGTATATACTACGGTGAATATCAAGAAAGAGCGTCCAACGCATGGTCACCCAAAACCAGCCTGCAATCCTGTATCTATCAAAAAATGTGATACTGGAGTTGGAGGTCTCTGTAAAGGTGAAGAGAGTAAAGATGGCTGTGTTCCTGCTTCAAAAGCCATGGAGTCACAAAGCTCTAAAAATGTTGGCAGTAAGAGAGTAAGGCAGTCAGCACCAGATGCAAGAGAAAGTTCAAATGCTGGTAAGGGTGATGACGTGAAAGATGGCAATGTTCGAGAAAATGATGTTGATCCTTCAAGACTTAATGTAAGGAGATCTTCCAGGCAAAAGCATCATGTTTCATATATGGAAACCTCTGATGTTGACGATTTTCAGGGTCCTTTGAAAAAACCACAACAAAGTGGATCATTTGATGCCAATGAAGTTGAGAAAGAGAACGTGCCTGCAGGTGGTGGGTCTTCCAGTAACAATAATCCAGCTGGTGCGATTGATCAGAGCACAGAGGTGAGGAACAAAGTAAGTAATCCACATGAAGAAACATCTTCATGTAACAAAAGCAAAGTCAAGCAATCTCATGCTCAAGGAGAGAAGGTATCCGAGTCAGACTTTGATCTTAGAACATCAGAAGAGGAGAACTGCTCTCCATTGAATTCAAATGTCTGCTCTAGTCCAGAGATCATTCATTGTCCTGATGCAGATTTCAATGATTTTGAGAAGGACAAAGCTGAGGGTTGTTTTGCTGTTAACCAGTTGTGGGCAATTTATGATACCGCTGATGCGATGCCAAGATTTTATGCTCTTGTCAAGAAAGTGACCTCCCCCTTCAAGTTGCAGATTAATTGGTTGGAACCTGACCCAGATGACGAATGTGAGATTGATTGGAATGATGCAGATTTGCCTATTGGTTGCGGTAAGTTCAAGCTTGGCGGTTCTCAGAAAACCACAGATCGTTCTATGTTCTCTCATCAGATGCAGTGCGTAAAAGGAAGTGGCAAACGTTCTTATCTTGTATATCCTTGTAAGGGAGAAACATGGGCAATTTTCAGAGACTGGGATATCAAATGGAGTTCTAATCTAGAAAATTATTTGGGGCATGACTTTCAATATGTGGAAATCATATCAGATTTTGCTGAGAATGTTGGCATTGAAGTTGCTTATCTGCGCAAGGTGGAAGGGTTTGTTAGCCTCTTTCAGAAAATGAAGAATGGAGTGAACCTATTCCGTGTTCAACCTAATGAGCTATATAGGTTCTCGCATCGAATTCCTTCATATAAAATGACTGGTAATGAAAGGAAAGGTGTTCCAAGAGGATCTTTTGAACTTGATCCTGCTGCCCTGCATACTAATATCTTTGAAGTTGGTGATTCTGGTAATGTGAAGATGGTGAATGGAACGTTCAACACTGTAGTGGAGCAGGGGGTGGCTAATGAGTACTGGCGAGGTAAGATTTCTCAATCCTTGGAAGATCATCAAAGGGACAGTGAAAGAATGGATAATGGTCGACAAACATGAGATAGCTAATGAGGGGGTGAAAACACCTTAGACATGAAGAAATTCTTGGACAGCTGATTTCCTCATTTTGTGTTTTGATTAACCTAGAAATGCTTCCAACTCTGTATACCTTTTGGTTTTGACACTGATCTTGTGTGATGTCTATTGCGATCCTTGAGTGTGTCTAAGCATTGTACTCCCCCATTTTTCTTTGATAAGTTCGGTTTTTGTTTTTATTATACGGTTTAAAGTTTTATGGTATATATATCCTTAATAAGTAAAATTGGTAAAATCCTAAACTAAAACTAGTATAGAAATGAATAATTTTCAAAATTAAAATATTAATAGTGGAATTAGATTTAATGATATTTTAAAATGTTGCACTATTTAAAAAATGAACAATTAATTAACTTACTTTTTTTTTTTGTCTAAGATCCATTATTGACTAAGAGGGTTTCATTTGATGGGGGTTCATGTAGCTCATGCTCCATCCAAGCTGCATCAATTTTTGTTGCAGAGTTTTTAACCCAAAAAATAGTGCTTACTTTTTCCGGTTATCGACCAATAAGAAAATAATAATAATTTATTAACATTATCTTGAATAAAGTTGTCGATTAAATAATGTCGAATTAATAGTCCGTTTACGCTGTTCTTTCGGAACCTTATAATTCTGTTTGAATAAAAGTGAGAAATACCCAAAACAGAAAAATGATAGAGGCTAATTTTATTTTATTTTCATTATTGTTTGATTATGTTCATAAGATTGCAGTGGATCGTTATAGACCACCCAATAAAATCGCAAACTTTTTTCAATAATAAATTAACCCCAATTATGTTTCAAAACAGCATCATTTTGATAAATTATTTTCAAAATAACATTATTTTAGTAAATCTCCCTGGACGGGGACCCTTGCCCATGGAATCAAGCCAGATTTGATAAATGATTAATTAAAAGGGTTCAACTTGATGGTAGTTCATGAGTGCTCCATCCGAAGTTACATTCATCTTCATCTTTGCTCCATGGTTTCATTTTTCCCCCTAAAGAAAAACTCCTTATTTTCTTCAGTTAATATGAATGATTTACATAAATCTGTTAAATAAATTCAAAAATTAAATAATAACGAATTAATTATCAATTTACTTTTCTTTTTAAAATTTTACCGCAAACCGAACTAAAGAGACAAACAAAAAAGGGGAAAAGTTAATTTAATTTTCCATTGCCATTGCCATTTGCTTGTAACTGTGAACTAATATTTCACTTCACGCATCTAATGTAGTAATTGTGTATTGTACGTGTTAATTTGGTTAAACTAATCATTGGTCTATTAACAATTTTAATCTTATTTGTCCTGCATTAATCGTATTAAAAAAATATTGAATTAAAACGTTTGATCCGATTGTTTATTACTAAATGAACAATAATTTATAAATTTATACTCAATTCTATCAATAAATAAAGAAAAATATTATAAACTAAACCAGGTAACATGTTGAGGTTTAGCACTCCAGCTTTCATCTATCATCATAACAAAGAGATCGAGAAAATTGTTTGATTGAAATGTGAAGGACAGGCTTGAATCTGATGGTGACTACAACAAATAAAAAAGGGCATTACGAATTTGTGTATATCTGTAAATCTCGCCCGACAGGTGCAATGCTTGATCAATTGATTGACTTCGACAAGTGCCATGGACAATAAACCGGTTGCATCTTAAAAAACTCTTCCGAGTAATGTCAATGATGTCTATGCCGATCTTTCCCTCTTGAAGAGTAAGAGGAACCATGGTAATCCCGATCTGTAAAATAAATTTTTTTTAAGATGCAATGCCAAAAGGAAAACAAATGCCAAACCTATGAAGATCCCAGATTCATACCATGCGATGAATGGCGTTTTGACTTCTCTGAATGTCCTGTATAAAATACAAAAACTTAATTTAACCCTAAATACACACAATAAAAATAAAAATAACCAGAAATCTATGAAGATACCTGAATCCTTTGCTCTCTCCCTAGAACGGTGAGCACGATCCTTTAATTTGTCCCTATCGACTTCCTCTCGCTCACGTTCTTTGTCAGAATCCCTTCCTCGATCACGATCCCTGGATTTCGTTCTGTCCCTGTCTCTATCTCTGTCTCTGTCTCTGTCCCTATCCCTATCTCGGTCCCTATCCCTGTCCCTGTCTCTGCGTGTCTCCCCACTAACGTCTCCTTTACGGTCAGATTTGGGCTTCAGTGTAGGTTCATCTCTTGCCTCTCCTTCTGTAGCCATGCCTTTGGATTCATCATCAGACTTCTTAGAATCTTTCAGCTTATCAATGGCTAGCTTTACCATTGCACCCTTGCCACCAACGGAATCAATATTAGTTTCTCCATGAGCTCCCTTTGGCACTGAGGTGTCAGTATCAGCTGGGGGACTACTCTGTTGAACATCCTACAAAATGGCAGCGTGACAAAAGATATGTTGGATCAAAACTTCATACTTGATTTTCAATAATACGGGCTTAAAAAAAGTAAACATTTCTCTCATAACAGCCACCTGATGCTGATAAGGAAAAAGTGGTCATCACCTTTGGTGTTGACTGAGACTTTGATTCCAATGATTTGTTGGAGAATGTGAAGTCCCCGTCCTTGCAGACTGGTATATATTGTGCCTTCGGAAGGCTATAAAGGTGAGCAAGAACCTTACATACTTCATCAATCCCAGACTTCTCTGCATCAAATGCCTTCCACCACGGTGGGTTCTCAGGAAGGGGTACCTGGAACCTACGAGCAGCAGCATATACAACTCCACAAGCTACAACCTCACTCTTAAATCGAACACATAATGTAGTGCGCAAACTGGATCAAAAAGAGAGTTAGGAAAGCAAAAGGTCCTGAGAAAGCAAGCATAACACTCCAGTAAAAGATGCTGAATAACAAAAATAGAAGTATATTGAAGTCAGGCAAATGAATGAGTAGACTGTTTTTCTCCACTTCAGATTGTGCTAGGATTGAATGCTTCTCATACAATATTTTAAGATACATCAAGTGTTTGCTAATGGTCACAACATCAACAGTTCAGTCCCACAGCTCAACAGGATATGATACTCTTCAGAATAATTGTTCACATGATAATAACCACAAGGTAAATGGGTTCAAAATTTAAACAACAATCTCAAAATTTTATACTATATTACAATCATACTTCTGGCCAAATCCTCTGCCTAGACTGTACACTATTCTTGGAAACATCTAGTCACTTGCACAATAACTTCTGTTTTCATTATAGTGATGCAAATTTAATTCCTTGAAGGATGAAATCATAATATCAGGTTGTGAGAAAAAAAAAAAAAAACTATCATGGATAACTTCATAAAGGTTTTGTTTGTCTCTTTCCTTAGATGGGTTACATGGATAAACCCCTCTCCTTAAATTGTATATAGTATCCAAGTACTATCAACCTGATAAAATATCCAAACCGTTTAACAGAACAGAAGGTACAGTCTAGTTCAGGAATCTTGTGGAAGAGAATAAATCAAGGTGTACAGTATGGACATACAAAAAAATATGCTAGCAGCATAACAAAAATAATATCTACATTCTGCAATTATCTACCTATCATTAGCCAGATTCCAAGCTTCTTGCCTCAATTCTGGAGGAGTTTCAAGGGTTGCAAGGTAATTTGATATAAACTTATGAGGGTGTTCAACATGACAAATGAATCCCATTTCTTTCAAAATATGTCTTTCTGTTCTGCTCAATTCCATTTTCAAATCAACATATTTCTGCTAATGGGGAAACGAAAAGAAAAACTTTTAATAACTATAATTTATTGAGATAAACTTCATCATATATCTGTGTACTATAGGCATAGAAAGGGGGAGAATGAAAAGCTTCTGACCCTGGAATACAAGTCTAAATGCTCCATGGGAAAGTTCTCCCTCCTGCATTCCATCCTGTGAAAAACTATGATTACTTGTCTGGCTTTTCTAGGGTTTTCCTCCAGTTTTGAAGCTAGCCACACACAGCTTGCAGCAACTTTCTGCAAAAGAAACACTGAACATAGGATTCATGAAGCATAAAGATAGAAAAAAGAGCAATTAATATACATCACAACATAAATTACCTTGACATTGAACCGTGCAAATGACTTCTTACAATAGAAACGATGAAATAGAACCTGCCCTGTTGCCATGACTGCTTGTGGCCTGCCTCACAATTAAGGCACAACTTGGACTGAACAAGGAAGATTAAATTGAAAAATGAACATAATAATAGTAAGAAGGAAAAGGATACAATCTAAGCAAAATGCCACTTTCTTGGATGAGATCACAGCCATAGATTCTTAGGGTGGTCTCAATGGCTTCATCTATGCCATCTTTTCTAGAAGGCGAGGTTGCTAACTGCTCGTCTGTGAGGTAGAACGTGTCAATTGCTGTGTAGATCATCCCTTCTATCCTTCACCCTAACACAATCACAATCTCCCAGTTTTGCTCCTGAATTTTCAAAAAACTTAGTCACCAAAAAATTAAAGTGAATATAGAGAGATTAACAAAATAGGAACATTAGACAAATGTTTTCTAAAACCAAACCAGTCATTGAACCGCTAAAGGCAACGGTTCTGGTGATAAAACTAATAGTTGATTCATAACATGCATACGAAAACAAGTCCAAACATAACATAAGACTCTAAACTTGTAAACAGAAAATTATAAATTAAAAGGATAATTTCATAAGTTGCAGAGAGTAAAATTCATTAGAACAAAAGGAGTGGGAATACAACGGCTAAACCAAAGATGCATAAGCACTTGAGGAGGCGTTAGTTATTTATGCTTCCAATTCGGCATATGAACACAAAATCAATCTTATTGAAATCTGGAAAGGAAGAACGAGAGAGCATACCTTGGGAAAGGACGAATGAAGCTGCTTAGGGTTTGATTGTGAATGAACCGATGAGGGACGAGAATTGGAGATGAAGGTTTCCCTGTCAGTAAACAAACCCCAACACCCATCATCAGTTATTTAAACTCAAATACTTTATTTTATATTATTGATTATTTAAAATATTTTATATTTCATTTATTTTAACTTCTAATATTTTTATTAAATATATACTTGATATAATAAAATATTTATTAAATATATAAAAATAAAATCGTATACAGTGCAACGCACAACATTTAATTGAAAATAAAAAATTAATCGATCTTGTTGAAAAAAGAAAGTGACGAGAAAGTGTTAAGTAAAATAGTTCAACACGCTCTTCTTTGCCACACCTTATAATGTACGGACTAAAAAAAAAGTTGGATTTAATCTGCTCTATGATTTTTTAAATTGTTTCCCCCCATTTTGTTTGGATTCATCCGGTTAATTTTTTTTTAATTAAATAGAAAAAAAATATAATACAAAAATTAAAATATAACTTACATAAACAATTGATTTAATTTATATATAAAAATTAAAATTAAAAATTTATTATTTACTTTATCAATTTAATTAGTTAAACGAGTTAACCGACGGTTTGAATTTTCTGTTGAAAAAAATTAAAGTTGTGCATTTTGAAAAACAAAAAAATGCTAATAATATATCAATTTGTGCCATTTATCTAAGTTGCCAGGTTGTTGCAATTTCTTTTAACGGCAAAGAAGAAAAAAAGTGCCAACAATTTTTTTACTGTAGCTCGTATAAAATGAGAATACTAGTCTTCATTGTATTAATTTTAACGAGCGATTAGCATTTGGCTCTTGCTGAAATTGGACAATCAAGTTTAGAAAAATATATGTATTGAGTTGAATTTGTTGAAAATTATTCCAAAATCTTTAAGGGTTCGTTTGATGCGTGGAATCGGAATTGATATTTAGAATTATAATTATAATTATAATTTTATTAAAATTAAAATTTATTTAGAATTACAATTTTATGTTTGACGTAATTAAAGAATTAGAATGAAAAATTAAAATTTTAAGTTAAAATTAAATGTTACGGTGTGATGTAAAATTTAAATTTTTAAAAATTAATTTAATTTTGTATTAAAACTTTATTTAATAATATTTTTAAAAAATAATGTGTTAATTAAAAATATAAAATAATTATTAAATAAATTATTAAAGATGATAATTTAATATTATTTTAAAAAAATTACGACATAATAAATTTATTTTTTATGTTTAATTTATCATTAAAATTTAATATTATGTTATTAACTATCTTTTTATAAATTAGATAAAAACATACAAATGCTCACAAACATAATTTAATTTTTAAAATAAAAAAAATGCTTTTGAGTACTTTTATCCAAAGACCATGAACTAAATAAGTAAAAACATTGCAACAAATTATTTTATACTTATATAATAAGTATTATGTAGTGCTCTTCTTTAACAATAAAATGTTGTAAAGTTAAAAAAAAATTATCTAGTAAGACGTAATTGATTATAGCAATTTTCATCAGTTCTATGATATAATTGTCTCATAGTATATCTTCTACCATATCTTTATCACACTCAATTGTATCTAGCATTAATTTTCTCTTTTTTGTTTCTCTTGTTCTTAATAGTTCTTGAATTAATTTCTAATATTTTCTCCATCTAACAATTCAAGAAAAGTATTAAACAATTTATTATACAATTAGTATAAATAATTTGCAGTAAGTGCAAAATAGTAATATGACACTGCAAAGTAAACATATTAAACATGTAACAAATGTGAAAAATGAAAAAGAAAGAAGAAGGCGTAAAAGAGAAATATAAAGAAGAAGAAGAAAAATAGAGAAAAATCACTTTTATTAATAATCAATGTAAAATGAGGAAGAAAAGAATAAAAAAAAAAGAGAACATAGAAAAAAAAGTAGTATTAATAATCAATGTTAGAGTAAAGTTAAAAAGAGAAGAGAATACAAAAAATTAAGAAAATATAAGAAAAGAAAGAAAAATGTATAGGGGAAAGAGAGAACAAAGAAAAGAGAAACGAAGAAAGTGTTGGGAAATAAAGTATTTAAGGAAGAACAAGAACTATGACGATGAGAAACTACAGAGACGAGGGTGAAAGTGTATTATGAATTTGTTTGGGATGAGGAAAATTTTCCAAGTTAAAAATCATCTTAAAGGAAACTACATTTCAACAAGTTTTGAGGGTCAAGAAGGAGTCAAAGATAAACCTGAACATAAGAGAATATTGGAAGATCTTTGGTTTTAATTAAAAGGAACACATTTCGAGCTATTTTAAGAGATTTTTGTCACATTGTTGATTTTCCTCTAAACTGCTTGAAAGACAAGAAAATATTTTAAGACCACAAAACTAAAGGCTTTTTTCGAGAAGTTTTGAGGAGTTTTTAAGTCACTGACACCAAAAAACTACTCGAAAAATAGAACTGGCAAGAAAATATTTCAAGTCCACAAAACTGATGGTTTTTCGAGGAGTTTTTAGGAGTTTTTAAGTCCCTAACACCCAAAGCTGCTCGAAAAACAGGACTAATAGGAAAATATTCTAAGTCCACAAAAACTGATGGCTTTTCGAGGAATATTTGATGAGTTTCCAAGTACCTGACACCCAAAACTGCTCGAAAAGCAGGAAGTGGTAAGAAAATATTCTAAGTCCACAAACTTGGCTGAGTTCCAGATTTCCTCCAAAATGGCTCGAAAAACAGAAATGAGCAAAGAAAATGTTCTAAGTCCACAAGACCCAGACAGACTCTCAAAACTCAAGAATGGCTCGAAAAGAGAAGTCAAGAAGAAACTATTCCAAGGCCATAACATTAAAAGAGTTTTCTAGGTTTCTCTCAGAAATACTCGAAAGATAGGAGTATTGAAAAATCCAAAAGCGGTTACCAGTAGTTATCAACATTCACCACTACGCAAAGGAGATCATGGGCGATAGCGGTTACAACAAACAGCACGATCACAAGCAATCGTGGATAGTGAGCCTCAGCAGTTGAAGTCAGTTACTAAGAAGTGCCCGCAAAAGGAGGAAAACGGTGGTGATATTCATATCTATAAATACTATAAAGCATTATGTCACAGGGGACGACTTTTTGCACCCAGACACCGCACCTAAACACTCTGAGACGCTGAAACCCTGCACCGCGCCAGACACCAGCTACAAGGAGACCTACGGTGGCCGCTGTTCGCCGTTGTGAGGAGTCGTACGTTTATATTTCAGCATATTTACATTCCAGCACCTCTATACTCCCGCATTTCCCTTTCTGCATTTTAATTTCAGTACTTGTTGCTTGTATCTTTGTACACTCTTGGCTTCCTGTTTGTTACATTTTTGTAAAAGCATCTACGTTTGATTTAATTCTGCACATTTATTATTCACTATTCTTGCTTAATACTCTTTTACGCCGTTAATTTGAGCATCACGTTAACAACACACTTAAAAGAACCCAAAGAGGACCTAAATCCAGTCCCCAGATTGATCTTTGGATTATTTGTTTACAACTGTCATTTTTCACCGTAAACAGAATTATGATATTAGGAATTCAAATTCTTGTGGTGCGGGTTCGGAATTGAAGTGAGCCAAATTTAGTTCTAATAGAATTCCATAAAATTGCTCCATGGAATTATAATCTTAACTCCAAATGAACATCTTAACATGATAATTAGAATTTTGAAGCGTATTTCCAATTCTAACATCCGATTTCATATGCCAATTCATAATTTTTTTATTATATTCTAAAAAAATAATAGAATTATATAAATTATTAACAAAAATTTTGTTCTTTTACGAACTTAATATGTTGATAAATTTGAAGGCATAAAAATTTATTTTGGACAATTGAACCTTCTCAAATTGTTTCTCTTTAAAAACTAAAATGATTTGTGACAAAATAATGGAGGACAAGAAGAACAAGAGACCCTGACACATAATGAATCTTGAAGTACTATTTTTGCATCCCCTCAAACAAATCTACCCACATTAGGATTACTCATTAATGGTTGATACAGTTTGACAGACACTAAAGGAAATTATTATAAATAATAGTTTTACTTTTTGTGTAATATTATTAATGTTGATATACTATTTTAAACAATTAATAATTAAAATATATTATGAATATAATCTTTTATATTAATTAAAATTAATTAATTACTTTTTATATTTTTTATTTCTCATCTGATTTAATCTAATCCGATTCAAGTTGCGCACTTAGATGTTGTAGGTGGGTTTATCATTGAAAATTTTTTATATACAAAAGAACTCGAACTTAATACCTTCTTTAAACGATACTAAGTCATTTGTCACTCGAACCAACCTCTATTGTCTAAATTTTTTATTTTTACAAAAGTTACGTAATTTAAATTTATTTATAAAATATTTTATTATAATATAATCTTTAACTTGTTAATCTCGTTTGATTAAAGAGAAAATTAGGTTTTGAATTTAAATTGAGATAAGATTAGCATTTGGTTAGAATGATATACTACAACGGTTAAAAATTATATTTTAACAAAAATATAAAAACTAAATCTATGTAATATAACTTTTGTAAAGGTTATATATTTAATTAAGCTCATATTAATTATAAAAATTAATAATTATTATTGATATAATAATTTTTATGATTAGATGATAATATTTAAAAAAATCATCCTATCAATATTTTTAAATTAAATTCTATTTGCAAGGGAAAAAAAAAGAAAAAAGAACATGCGTGTGAACAACGTGTAATCATTAAATGCACTGTTATGGTTGTTGACGCATGTTTTCTTTATCACTCGTGCTTCACCTTATTATTTTGACATTTTGACTATTTAAATTTAGTTAAAGTTGTATTGCATAAAATATATTAAAAAATAAACTATTGAGATAGATTATATTTTACCAATTGAAGAACTAAAATAATTAAAAGCGTTAATTTACTTAAATTTTGTTTGGAAGTTAACTTTTTGAAAAAGCAAAAAAAAGTCATCTTAATTTAAAATATTTTAAATGAAAAAATAATAATTTATAAAAATTTCAAAACTATCCTTATTTTATATTTTTAAATTATT